GGTGGGGGCATTGGCATTTAATGTCCAACACCAGTCTGCAGCGGAGGTACTTCTGACACTGGAGTTTCTACAAACCAGAAGATGAAGCCTCAGAGAAATTAGGTGCTTGCAAGACAGGCAGGCCTTGGAGTCAGGTATGACCAGGACATTACTACTAGCTGTTGTGACTTGGGACAGAGTATTGGACCACTCTGCACTTCTGTCTCCTCATTTGTATAGGAAGCAGGAGAACTTGACACACCTCTCAGGGCTGGGCTGTCATGATATAAACGTGACACTGTATGCATGGCCCTGCCCGGGGTAAGCCCATCTGTTCACGCTTATTCCCTTGCACAAAGTGCCAGGGACAGAGCTCAGCGGGGGCCCAAATCTCAGGAGGAAGAGGATGTGCCTGATGTCCGTCCTCCTCTCCGTGACACCTTTCTCAGATCCCTGCACCCCAACCAGAAGTGTTGTCCCAACAGCCATTCTAAGTCTTGCACAGGATACTTTCCATGGCCTCCTCTGGCCTCCTATTAAGTGTTTTTGTTTGGCACTGATGTCTGTATGTATCCCTCCTGCACTGGACTGCCAGCTTCTTGAGGGCAGAGACCGTGTGTGCCTTGTTTACCTGCTTGTATCCTGGTGTCACTCCCTTTCTAACTGTGTGGCCTTGGACTGGGTGTTTAACTTGATGGGCCTATTTTCTCATCTGTAAAATGGGGCAGGGATGCCTCCCTCTGGCACACGTCATGGGAAGGAGGTCAGGAGTATCAGACATGGAAGCGCTGTGCGAGACACCTGCAGCAGACTCTCAGAAAACACTTAGAGGTTTGAATTCCTTGATCTTTCAGGTACGTGGTGAAATTAGGGGCTGTGTGTGTGAACTCGGGCACTGGGCCTGATGTCGACATGTCGTGGTGATGGCTGTGAGGGCAGGGCCCCATGCTAGTGGAGCGGGGACAGGACTTGGGGACTGGGCAGCAGGTGACCTAGTCAGACACAGAAGCTAGGCTCTGGGAAGAACATAGTAGGCAGAAGTGGCATTTCTGGGGGCAGGGCTTAGGGCTGAGGGGGCTTGACCCCCAGCCGAGCCCAGCATACTGTACAGTAGAGACCAGTAGCCACGGGCTTATCAGCGGGGACCTTCCCCCGTCCCTTGCCCCTCGATAGCATTCAGTCCCTGGAACACCGTACCAGGTGTTGGCCAGCTCTTGGCACTGTGACAACCAAGAAAGAGAAACGCTGACCATGCCTCACTGCTTGTTTGAGTAAATTTACTCTATATTTTTCCAAAGAGGCATCACATGGGTGGGAATTTACTCCCCCTGAATGCTTTTTAAGCGAACATGTGTCAACGTCACTGTGGGGGGAAAAGGTTCCAGGAGTCTCTGCCAGCTGAAGTCATTACCACGAGACACTGGTCGGGGGCCTGGCAGATGGGGGTGATATAAACCGTGGGGGTGATACAGACTGGATGGTATTGGCAGGAGGAGGTGGCCGGCGGGGCTGGAACCTGGCTGGCTTAATGGGAGGGAGTAGGGCATGTGAGCAGGGGCGATATCTGAGCAGGTAAGGACGGAGGGAGCAGGGAGGGAGGCTGCGGGCTGGTAATATACATGAATCCCTTCATACGTTGGAAAACAAGGTGAGTGGGGAACCCGAGGGGCAGGCAGAGACAGAGGACAGAGGCCCTGGAATGGTGAGCACTGGCAGCTCGGACCAGGAAGATAGGCTGGGGCTGGATTGTTGAGGGGCCTGAATACCAGCTCCACCAGTAACTACCTGTGTGACCTTGGGCAACTATTCCAACCTCTCTGTGCTTCAGCTTCATTTTAGTAAAATGCACAGTGAATGTTTCTTTGGAGGATTAATCGAGGTAATGTATGTAAAATACCTAGCACCAAGCCTGGCGTGTCGCAGGTGCCAGGACACATTTGTTCTTTGTTGATGATAAAACCACACGGGCATAAATGTGCTCACATAAATTAACAGCTGGGGCGCCTTGAAACTGCTATCCAGAGTAGGCCCTCAATCTAATACCAAATGTGTTTCTTCAGCTAAGTACAGCCTTGGTCTCTTTAGAAGCCCTTGTCCATGAACAGCCAGGCCCTGTGGCTGTTTCGGTCCCACAGACTCCTTCTGAGGCCAAGGTTACAGCAGCACCCTCCGCCAGCTCAGGCAGTTCTGGGCAAGCCAGAGAGGGCTTCTGTGCTCCCCACAGCCTTTAGAAAGAAGAGGGCCATGGTCACAGGAAGAGTCTTCCCTCCCAAAACATGACCATCTTTCTCCCCAGGGGAACACACACAAGCACTGCCTGGAAGTGCCCGTCGCCCATCGATAGTCTTGGGGCTGGCTCTCTTGCCTTCCGGGAAGTGGGAAGCTTTTGAGGGAGGAGGGTTCCAGAGAGCCTAGCCCAGTTAGCGGAGACACCTTCAGATCTCAACAGATGTTGAGATATCTGGGCTCTGAGCTTCGAGAAAAGACTGACCCGAAGGGTGTCTGTGTCCATCACACGTTTACTGAGTCATTCCTGGGACCTGAAGAACCAGAGACAAGTAGACCCCCAGCTGTACCCCGGAGACTGGGAGGCAGGCCAGGAGTTCAGGAAGAGGGAGGGAGCTTGCACATCTACTTTCAGATGAAGCTGAGTTAACTGGTACAAGTGATTGAGCTTCTGTAGACTTGATTTCTTCGTCTATGTAGTGGTCACAGCATATGCCTTGCCTCTTTGTTGCCATGATTGAGATCACGTAGGAGGCCTCTTTGGGGCCTGCACTCTGGAGGAGGTGCTCCAGGATGTGCTCTGCTTCCTCCTTCCCCATTGTCTTGGCTATTCTGAGAGCCAAAGGGGCTTCTTCTGCCCTAGGGCCTCTCCCTGTGACTACGGCCTCACCTCTCCCCTTTTGAAACTTTTTTAAGACGTTGAATGGGCTGCGAGGGGAAACCTCACCTCAGAAGGAAAGGAACCATTCTAAGTGCACCTCTGTCTAGGAGGCCCCTGGGATTGGGGGCGGGGGTTGGAGGCTGTGGGCACTGTTGGATGACTTGTGGTCAGGATCACCTGTGCCCAGAACATCTGAGCCCAAGAAAGGACACAGCAGGGGATGGAGTGAGTTACAGACTTGCCAGGTTGGGGGTTGCTGTGGACCACAGACCTCTTCACCAGCCCTGAGGTGCCCCAGCCAGAGTCCTGCCTGCTGCACACAGTAGGTGCCTGCCAGTCCGGTACTTAGTAGGAGCTCAGTTGTTTGCTGACGAACTGGAGTAGGCAGGATCCCAGGCGAGGCTCTATTCTCCCAGGGCCTCTCTTCATCTGAGCGGTTGGATTCTGTAATATCATTGCTTCAGGACGTAGTGCAGCAGCCTCCCCAGTGGAGGCTTCCGGGTCCTCCGTTTGATCAGCCCCTCCAGGTGGTGGCTATAAGGGAGGGAGATGAGGTTCCCTGCCTGTGGTAGAGGCCTGAGATGGTACTGTGGCTTCAGTGGGAGGGGAAAGGGGGTGACCACCTCAGCCAAAAATGTTGAGCTGGCTGGGTGTGCTGTTTCCCATGTGTTTCGGTGAGGACCAGGTGTGAGGACCAGGTGAGTGCGACCGGAGAATGAAGCGCCAGGCCGGATGGGGCGGCATTTGGGTCCAGTGGCCTGAGTGGATCTGCCTGCCCCATGATGGTTTAGTGGTGCTTTCAAACCTGGGTAGCTTTCCCAGTCCCCTGCTTGTGTCCTCCCTGCGGGTTCCGGCCCACAGAAACTCGAACCCAGGACTGCTGCCTGGCCAGTTCTCC